TTTTGGAGAACTACAGCAGACAATTTTCTTCGGTTTTGGAGAACTACAGTACACAATTTTCTCCGATTTTGGAGAACTATCGTAGTCAATTTTCTCCGATTTTGGAGAAAAACAGTGGACAGTTGACCCTAAATTTGGCAAAAATGTAAGTTTGAAGAAATCTATTCTACTATTTTTTTCGATTCTTGAGATTTTTGAACTACATCAATAATCTAAGTTCGTTTTTAAGCGAGAAATTAGTATTATAGACTAGATGCATCTGTCATCAATAGCAATATGTGATACGCGGATGTTAACGATGACTGAACGAAGAATAATACATAGGGGTATCCAAAAGTAGTGGCAACGACATTTTGGTACCACATATTAAGCTTGATAAAAGTTTCTTTTTACATAGGATGATAGAGAAAAAAATGCTCTTTCTTTCTATGCTATTTGATCATACTTCACCTAATGTTATAGTAATAAAGTTCCAATAAGACCTGTTTTTCTAACATATGTGACGGTTATACTGTGTGGTTTGAATAACTTTTTATAGAAACAAGATAGAGAGCTGCGGTTTTCATCGTTGAAAAGCGGAGGTGAACATGCATCGGACTGCATATTATACGTTTTCTTAGGCATTATATGAAGCTTCGTCAATCAATTTTCTAAGTATCGAAAAAGATGGTTTTTTATTTCTTCACAAAAATTGCTAGAAAAATCACGTAGAGCTTTGTCTGGATTAGCCATAACTCCACAATGATTAATCTAAAATACCTGATCCTCCTGCAGTTGTGTAGATCTTCCAACAGCGGTTTGAATACACTGCTGACAATTGAGAATTTGCTGTAAACACCTTATAGAGTAGGTTTGTTCTTAGAGAGTTCGATTGAAAACTCTTAAAAGTCATGTCAGCAAACCTTTAATATATGATTCGATGCATCTTCGTTTCCTCTTTCGAATGATAAAAACCGCAGCTTTCTATCTTGTTTCTATGAAAAGTTATCCAAAAAACATCCACTGGATAGGCATTTGTATAACCGTCACATATGTTAGAAAAACAGGTCTTATTGAAACTTTATTACTATAACATTAGCTGAAGTATGATCAAATAGCATAGAAAGAAAGAGTATTTTTTTCTCTATCATCCTATGTAAAAAGAAAATTTTATCAAGCTTAATATGTGGTACTAAAATGTCGTTGCCACTACTTTTGGATACCACTATGTATTTTGAAAAAAAAGAAAAAAAAAAGAAAAAACCAGATTTTTTGTTGGAACCCTCGGTATAATATTGCATGAAGCACGGTCAGAGTAGTCGAAGGAATGTCGGAAAGTCTGCTTCAAAAAGAAAGCGATGACAACCAAAAAGGTTTGGAGTCTTCCTCCGAATTTCAGCAGAGTGGGAACGTCTTGTTTTCTTTTGCTCTTCAATTTTGACTTTTTCAGATTGGAGGCTCCGATTTTCGGGATACCCCCTCCTGCTCTGACCTCTTCGCGCCGTCCCTGACTATTTCTGGGACACCCTGTATAATTATATAAGAGAAATTTGCTACTCGAACACTTTGATAGTCGATAATTCGATTCATTTAATTTTTCTATTAGACACATATGAAAGAACCAATGGCTATGCCAAAAAAACTTTTATTCAATGTAACCGATGCAAATTTATTGTTTTTACAATCGAATTCTGTATCTTAATAGATATATTTATATTCGAATGCTCAGTAGTATGCAAGCAGATATAATTTGGAGAATATCTTTCAATGATAAACAATAGTCAGATTGGATGTACTTTCGAAAAGCTTTCATAGAGTTATGCCAGTGTAATCTCATATTTAGCTGGATAGATTTTTATAAATTTAGTTAAGGGTTTTCAATTGCTACCTCTGGAAAGGCTTCTAGTGCGATTCTTGCAGGATTACCATGTAAAACACGATGTAGCTGCTGTACTTAATCACACGGAAATTCTTTGACTCTAATTATTTATTTTCAGACATATTTCATCATCGTCCCTTCACTGAATCCTCAAGAAACGAAAAAAGAAAGCGGTTTCTATATTACAATAAGACGTTATTTATATACAGTTTGTGATCATGTATCAAAAATGTCTGTTGTGGCCTCTGATCAAGAAGTGACGTTAATAAGGACATCTGCCATATTTACGCAGAGAGAGGAGGCAGGAATTTCAAATTTCTACTCGTATACTTCCACACTCCTTTTAGATCGTATTTTGCAAGATGCCTCTTTATGAGTCAAACAAAACTTTTGACAAAAGGTTTCTTTTGAATTGATTCATTAAGAAATAAACTCCATGCAATGTTTTCTTGTGAACGTGTCGAGTTTTTGTGAAAAGATATGTTGGAAGATATTCAACGCTATTATAGGGATAAGAAGTTTTCCTTTAATAGAGACTAATGTTAGATTCAGGAGGGTCACTTTTACGTAGGCTTTGCTGAATGTAGATGTAGATCTTCTCGTCATATATATGCACACCCCTACTCTCTTGATTTGCATGATAAATAGAGTTAGATAGTGGTTTCAACCATTTATGAACACTTAATCTAATACTCTAGGTTCTTATTTCACCTGTTAAATGGCAGTCTTGTCTTTAATTCTTTGTAAAAACTTGATAAGACAATGAATGCAATAAAGAAAATAATTTCTAAGAACAATCACTTGTTCAACAATAGATGTAGAAATTTTCAGAATGTGCGGTTCGGTCAAGCAACAGATGCCAAAATAAGCAAGAATGGTTCCACATATAATACAAATAAGAGGGTTCAGAAAAAATCGCTAAGAAACATGAGATAAATTTCAAAAGGAGATGAGATTACACCTACCTCGCTAGTCTCCTATTGCAATTGTCTTCGTTGAAACTTATGCTGTGACTGCAGTTGAGATCGGATACTAACTTCAACTGCAAAAGTTATACAGAAATCGAGAATTCATTGTTGAAAGAACATAAAATTTTGATTCCAACTTGGTTTGTTTAAATTTCTACAGACCTCCAACGAGCTATAATCTAATGAGCTTTTTTCTAGTAATAAAGAAGACTTACAAATTTATATTTGCAAAAAAAAGGTTTAAGAACGCAAATAGAAAGACTAACACAAGTTATGCCACAGGAAGATAGCATTTTTACCAAAGGATAACAATAATCCTAGATGGTTCCATAAATTTTGTACATAAAAATATGCTGGAAAACCCATTGAAATCCTGGAAAAGTTAAGAAAACTGGCGAAAACCTTGAAATAGTAATCATGCTACGAAAAATATGACAACCTGTTAGAATCGGAAAAGAATTATCAAAACTGTCGATATCGAAATCACTGAAGGACATGGAAAAAAATACATTCGATAATACGAAAACAGTCGCAAAATCTTTTGAGTTCCGTTTTGAAAAGCTCTGTGGAACGCTATAGAACTCCAGTACTGCAAGAAAAAGTAAGAAGTTTTTTAAATATGCATGAAATGAGTCTCCCACAACTGAAATGCTAAAATCTGGTGTTTTTTTTCCTAGGAAAAACGGAAAATTTTAGTATTAATGTAACTTATTTTAGTTGTTAGTGATATTCTTAGACATTTTCTTTATTAATAAAATTTGAAAGTCTCCTCTCTCGCCAGAAAAAAAATCAGCTCATTTGGTTAAAATCCGGTAGAAATATTCGATCTTAAAATTCCATCACGGCTTTTGAGATTCTCTGTTTTCTGTCTTATCATTTTTGATCCATCCATTATAGCACTTTTTTTTTAAAATAACTTGCAATTACAATTATGTGTTGTGCTTGTGAAAATTGCATGTACGATCCATGTCCCTTGGGCAAATAACTTTTCAAGTGCATTGATCAAATAGTCAGAGAAGAAAAAAGACGAAATATAATAGATATAGTTTATGGAGATTCTCCAAAGTATTAAATATAATATTCCATATCCATTGTTGTTCTTGTCTTTCTCTAGGAGATACAAAACATTGCGTGGCATGCCAGCACCACCAACAACAGCAGATACAATCACCAAGTTTTATCGATGACCGTCATTGCAGATAAGATATTGACAGGATGATAGTCATATCTGGTGCTACTCAGGATATGCTTCATGGATTACAAATCAGTTCTCATGTAGGGTCATATTCGCCGATATAACCTACCGCTTCTTTCTAATTTTTTCTGACTAACTATTTAGCTCTTTGATTTCTAATCAACGTAGTTCATATTTAGAACCAACATACTGATACATGTAGCTATTAAAATTAATAAAATCTACAGAAAACTAGCAAGTCATTAGTAGTCTACAATGTTGTGAGTCAACTCAGCGTGTTAGAAAATCTTTGCACTAGAACCACAAACAAGTGCAGCAAAACTTTGCTCAATCGAAAGTCACCAATTGTATATATATTTTTGCAGTAGATAGGAGTATATGAAATATGAATCATTCGAACATTTCAACTCAAATGGATGTACTGTTAAAAAGAGATTCATATCACAAGGATAAGCAATAAATATAGTCGTTTTTACTTTTCTCATATAATGCGTTCCAAGGATATTCTTGAAAACTCTTCAATAAGTACTAGCATAGGAGATATTGCACAAACACATGCGACAACACACACCCTATATATTCTATATCTCTATCAGAGACTGAATCGAACCGAGTTTTACTGGTTCGGTTCATTTTCAGTCTCCGATAGGCGTCACATTCTCCTCTTAATTTATTCTAAATTCAAATTCTTGCTAATTTAAATTTATTTTAAATTTAAATAGGGTGTGGGTGTGGGTGTGGCTCAAGAGAATAATAGTATCAACAACCAGACCCACATCCAAACACCCCACAACCCACAGTCACACCCAAAATCGCCAAAATAATCGAAAAACATCGGCGATTTATCACGATTAATTGGACGATTATCTTTTCGATAAATCGCCATCAGAATAAGCAGCCATGATCGGTTTCGACCTTGCTTAAAGGACTCATCGGATGGCTTTATTCAAATTCATCATCATAAAATGACAATGAAACTGCAATCAACCCTTAAAAATAGTTAGTATTAAAATGTATGACTACATTATGCCATCTGCTGAGACCCTTAAGCAAGGTCGAAACTGATCATGGCTGCTTATTCTGATCGCGGTCAAGCTTGCGCTGATTGTTGAAATATGAAGTTTTTATTTCTTCTATTGCATGATGTCGCATAGTCTCTAAGACCACCAGGGTAATATCTTATGGTGAAAACATGGACGAATCCGCCATTTTTTGATAAAATATTTACAGAGAGGGCAAAACCATTTACAGGTGGGCATTGCACTCCCGCACCTCTGGTGGCTACGCCACTACGGTTGATCCACGAGTTAACTCATCGATTATATATGGATGATAAATGCAACCCATGAGTCTATAATCCATGCAAATGTCTAACTTGTAAACCGTGTGATCCATCACAGATCTAATCAGTATACCGGTTACAAGTCAGGTCAAAACAAGTTAACCTATGAACATATCTGATCCGCACTCACTCCCTCACCCTTTATCAATCGTCTTTTTAGAAGGTGTATGTCAATGCATGGAATGTACTCTACTTGTTTTATCGATGAATGCTTTTGTTCGCCAAGGAACTGTCTGATTGACATGCTAAGTCTGTGTCATTACTAATTCGAGTTAGACTCCTTTATTTTTTTTAGAAAAGAAAAAAAAAACAAGATAAAAATCATTCAAAAGCAAACATTGTCGTATATACGACCTTTACATAATAAAAGAGAAAAAATGAACTAAAAACATAATTCCTAAGATTATGATACAATTTGATGATGATAATGAACCTTTAGAATGATAGAAATTCGACCATGGCTGTTTTGTATTACCACAAAGAAAAAATTCCTTAACTGGTGGATCTGATATTAAGTTTCGATATGATTGTCCATTTTGATGACCAACTGAGAAAACCAATGCTAAACCAGTAGAAATATGTCATTCCATATGACAATGCAGCAACCACGGACCTGGATTATCTGCTTTAATACGAAATACAACATATCCTTTGCGTGGTACAGTAAAAGAATCACTAACAGATATAATCCAAGCCTCTTTATCATAGGGATGTAGTCATCGATCATAATCTATTTTAGTCATATCAAAGTGATATTCATTACATTCATCGTAATGATCATTAGTTAGATTTACCAATGTACCAACAGTCGTAAAATTAACAACATATCCATGTAAATGAAATGGATGTTGTTGGATATCACTATTGACTAGAAGAACTTCATAGACTTTTCCGAATTCTAAATATTCAATATACGTTTCATATGAATTTCCTAAATGTCCTCTAGTTGGTGTTGACAAAGCTATTGATGCATTTTCGGGAAGGTAACGATTCGTAACGGTTGGTTACGAAAGCCCAGTAAGAAGCAGGGCTTTCGTAACAATGTAAAATGCATAAATCATAAAAAGCAGGGCTTTCGTATCGATTTTCGACAGGGCTTTCGTATCGTTTTAGACAGGGCTTTCGTATCATTTTTTAAAGAGCTTTCCTATCAAGTTTACAGGGCCTTCGTAACAATTTTGACAGGGTCTTCGTATCGGTCTTACAGGATCTTCGTACCGTTTTTACAGGGCTATCGTAACGTAAAAGGATTTGGTATGATCTTTAGTCAGATGTTGCTGACAGGATTTTATATTGAAATTAGTGATCTACCAAAATTATAACATAAATAGTTCAAAATTAGAAAGTGAGAACCAGCATATAAGTATAGACAAATTTTTATCTTCTTGTAAATCTCTTTCTTAGTAACAACTAGGGATGTGCAGTTTCGGTGAAAACACTGAATTACTGACAGTGACACACCGACACTGAGCGTCACTGTCTGCACTGACGCACTGACAGTGAGCGAACTGTCTGCAGTGACGCACTGATGGTGAGCGAACTGTCTGCAGTGAGGCACTGATGGTGAGCGAACTGTCTGCAGTGATACACTGACACTGATTTGCACTGTCTGCAGGGAGACACTATCAGGTCAAAAGTGGAGCTTCACCTGGGCGGTGTTCCCTCGTCAGTGTCAGTGTGCCACTGCAGATAGTGCGGTCACTGTCAGTGCGTCACTGCAGACAGTTCGCTCATTGTCGGTGTGTCACTGCAGACAGTGCGCTCAGTGTCAGTGTCGTCAGCGTACCAGTGAACGCCAGTGTGGTTTTATCGGTGGTCAGTATACTGAAACTGCACATCCCTAGTAACAACAAAAAGTAACAAAAACCAGGCAATACATAAAGAGAGAAGAGTGAACGAGAACAATATCCAGATAATAGAATTAAGAATACACATAATTGATTTCTTCGATTTTAAGTCAACAACTTTCACAAAAAAAGGCGTACACAATTCTGGAAAAACATAGAGAACTAGAAATAACAACGACATCTATGAATGTATACAAATAATTCATTCGCAGTATAGTACCATGTATTTGGACCATTTAAGTATATAAAACTTGTTACGAATGGATCCCACTTAATGACTTAAGCTATATTTGTAAGCATGGGTATTCGTAACGAATGCCCTGTTCTTTTTAGTGCCAGTCTTTCATTTTAGTTATGAATGCAATAAGAACTTGATTACGAAAGCCCTGTCAAAAACGATACGAAAGCCCTGTATAAGTTTGATACAAAAGCCCTGTCAAAATTTGATACGAAAGCCTTGTCAGAATTTGTTACGAAAGCCCTGTCAAAATTCGTTACGAAAGCCCTGTAGTAAAAACGATGACAGGGCTTTCGTATTACGAAAGCCCTGTAAATTTCTCGTTACGAATCGTTACACCCCCGCATTTTCATCAAAGTAAATCGATTGCAATAGAGGTGCATATGATGGTGAAACTAATGTTTTATCATTGATTTGCCATTCTTCGAGAGTAGCTTCTTCCGACGTATTAAATATAACAGAAAATTTATATGTCAATCGTTTTATTGCTGGTTGACTTTTATAATTCTCTGCATTTAATGGTTTTAAATGCTTATATTCGAATAAAACATCATCATTGAAATTTGCTTGTGGAGGTAATTGTGGTGGACTAATCACTGTTGAATTTGGATAGACAAAAAGTGCATTCATCCAATTATCAGGATTAACACCAACAATGAAATTTTCTGGTAATGCTACGAACATATGATATTTAAATTTTGGATTTTGATTACATCGAACAATAACATCAAGACATTGACCAACAGCTATTGCAATGTACAATTTTTCATAGGGCTTAACAGGTAAACTATCACGAGCAACGATTAAAAGCGGATGTTGATCGATCCAAAATCTTAATGGACTGCTACTTGCAGCATTGATTAATCTTAGCCGACCATATTTTCCATTGTGACAATGGAATTCATCAAGATCATGTCTATCTGATTGACATTCACCAAAATATGATTCTCGTAATGGAATACATTGGATCGTCTCATTGCATTTTGTTGGTTCCGAAAAGTTCGAACGACTCGCTTTCTTGCAATTCGTCGTATGACAGTCGAAACGACCATGTCCATTAATGAGTAAGGATGTTGGTGGCCATGAATAGCGAGGCTTGAATTCTTTCGATGAATTGAAGAAACTTTGATAACCTGTCATAATATCTTGCCATGATTCATGATACCATTCTTGTAATATAATAGGATAATCAGAATTTTCATCGTATGAATATTGTTCATGTATAAGATCTTGTTCACCTTGTTTCGGATCAATAATCATTGGTCCAATCAATCCATCAGCATATTTGTTGTTGAGAATGTGAATGATACCAAAATGTACCAGTTTGTGTCAAATTAAATTCGTAGATAAATGTTACACCAACATGTATTGGACATTGTGTAATCATGTCGACACCATCCATCCATGGATTGTTGAACATATGCAAACCATGAAAATGAATCGATCTTGATTGATCACGTAACATATTTTTAAATTCTATTTGAAGTAATTCACCATTTCGGGCGCGTATTAATGGTGCAGGAAACGGTCGTTGACAATTCCATTTTGGTATTGTACTATTGGCAGCATGTACTGTTATAACAGGCCGTTTGTAACCATCCGGATCACCAACAACTGTACGTATAATAAAACTATAATTCAATGCTTCACATTGCATATGAATAATCAAGAAAAATACTATTGAAATATTTCTATAAAACATTGATTTCTGTTTGACAGAATTTCCAATACAAAAACTTGTTATCTAAAAGGATCATACAATTTATTTTTTCGATGATGAATGGTAAGAAAGACTATAAATTTCGATATAGGAAAGCAGAAGATGTTTGTGTCGACAGACACACTACCTTTACAATGTATCATCATCTTTGAGTGATATCTCTCTTGTACAATATATTTATCGTAACTAAAGAACACTCGTTCTCGTTTTCTTTTGGTACAATCTCGATTATTCTATGTGTATACCCGTATCTTCTCTTTTCTTTTCTTTTCTTGTGCAATCGAGTAATCTAACATAACTATTATAGAAAAAGAACAACACGAGTAGATAATAGAGTAGAGCATGGAATTAACATTGTACATTGAGAATAGCCGTAAAGCTACTTCTCCAGTTTGTCATTGTAATTACAATAAAATAAATTCTGCAACAGTAACGAAACAGTCTATTCATTTATTTTTCGATACAATTTTGTTAACTGTTGTTCTTCTATATGAGAAGCACGAGCGCACATAAAGGATGTTCCATCAGTATCGGCCTCGTTTTTATTTTGTTTTTTTTATCTTCAAAGGTCAAAAAATCAGACATCAGATCAGACAAGACCTTATAAGATCTTAATACTCTTACAAGATTTGTTATATGACAATACCATACGATATAATCATATCATATGTGTTGCTTGTTGTTTTAAGATTTCATAAGATTCAGATCAACAGATGTTAGCAGAAATATTGCAAGAATCTGATGGCATAATCCGTACAAGTAAAGATACTATGACGTTAACATCATCATATACGATCAGATAAGTTCCATTAATAAGGAAAAAACATAAGATCCGACGACAGTACGAATCTTACGCGATCATACAAGATCAGATGTAGGAGTTCGCTGGGAAACGTGTGATTATCAGTTTTGCTCAATTGACTGAAGAATGGAAAGGTTGTAAAATAAGTTATTATTGTTCGAGCACTATCCATGTAACTACCACGCTTAGCACAAATATACAACAAGTAACGTTCATCGTTAAGCGATTCACTTAGCCCTAGGCTGATAGAATACATGTACGGATGTAATAGCATAAAAAGCTACATTAAAAAAGTAATACGCAAAATTGATAATATGACCAGTATATCTTAGGCGAGCAGAAAACTTAATTTGGAGAATTCTCACTCTAAGTAAAGATACTGCATTTTACAAATTTAATTTTTTTTTGTCGTTTTTGTTTTTTTTTGCTTTTATAAATATAAATAGCGCCCAATAAGATTAGACAACAATACGATTTTTTTATAATTATATTGGCGCTATTTGTACGTACAAAAATATGAATTATATTATTCATAAAATTTGAGTTTTATTAATCAATATTTTATGCTTAAATTCGCGCATTAATTCTAAACTATTAATATATTAGATATTCATTGATACAACATTGCACAATCAATCCTACAATAATGAATAATTTAAACGATTTCTTTAAATCCATACTGCTCATTTGGTCTGACTCTCACTGATTAAATGCTTTTGTAAGCCGTTTTACACCACTACCCGAATTATAGTTATTCCATTGACATTTTACCCATGATTATTATGGGTTCATTTACATCAATCTTTAGATGGTCATTTGTACCATAGTTACCGGAATAGTTGTTTGTACCATAGTTACCGGAATAGTTGTTTGTACCATAGTTACTATATGGTCACCTGTGCCATAGTTACGTGGTCGTTTGTACCAAAAAAATGACCGTTTGTGCCATAAAAATGGTCTTTTGTGCCAAAAAATTGGTCACTTGTGCCAAAAAAATGGCCATTTTGACCGCGTTACCGACAGACAGACAGACAGACAGACACAGGTGAATTTCGGCTTCTAGACCCTAGCCTTTCAGTCTAGGGAAAATAACAAAGTAATTGAAAGTATGCGCTGCTTATTATGTCTGAATTTTGATGACAAAAAATAAGCTAATTGGCGAATTCTCAATATATTCAATAATCAATACTGCAACGATGTATGCCATTCAAAATTTAGAAGCTTCAAACAATAAATTCCCCTGAGTTTTCACTATCTGAATGGTAAATATGTACTGTGTAATTGGTTCACCTTGTAAGAATGCACACTCGAAAACAAATAGTGTGTTATGCTTGAATAATTAAAAAAAAACCTAATAACATATTAGAATAAGAAAAGAAAAGAAGAGAAAGAGAGACTCAAGGATATGCACGTGTAACGATAGACATTTTTCTTCTTCATAATCGAAATAACCATTCATTCTATCGATGTTTTTTTATCGATCAAGTATACAACTATGTATGTTTTTTTTTTTTTGTTGTTTTAGTCATTTCATGGCTAGTGAAACCATAGAAAATATAACAACGCCACGATTTATTCCATCAACACGCTTCATCATAGGTTTACTAGTCTCTTTTGCATTTTTTAATCAATATGCACAGCGACAAGCTCTACCTATTGGAATTGTATGCATGGTCAATAGGACAAGCAACAATATTCAAGTTAATTCGACACTATATATGGCTCGTATGGAGTATAATACTACAGTAAAGCCGTCAACCAAAGATACAGCTCAAATTTTTAAAGAGAAAAGATTTCGTTGGAATGAATTCGAACAACAAATGATACTTGGTGCATATTGGGCAGGCTATATTTTAACACTCGTACCAGGTATAGAATTTCAAAAAAAGATAAATTATTGATGTTACGTGTGTATATGTAATAGGTGGTTGGTTGTCAATGAGTATTGGTGCTAAGCAAGTATTTGCTTATTGTCTACTTACAAGTTCTCTGGCAACATTGGCTCTATCAACTATTTATACAATGGCTGAAACTCAACTTTTGCTTATATTAATCATTGTCCTACGAATAATTGTTGGTCTTGGTCATGGTGCTTTGTTTCCTGCTTCTTATACAATATGGGCATCATGGGCAGTACCAAGTGAACGAGGTACATTGACATCTATCAGTTTTTCTGGTACACATGTCGGTACATGTAAGTAGTTATTTCTTGTTCTATCTATAAAAGATGAATGATGATAATATTCTTTTATCTAGCTACAATGATGTTGATTGGAGGAATTTTTTGTCGTTATTTGAATTCAGGTTGGATGTATGTATTCATTTTGTCTGGTATCTTCGGATTAATTTGGTTTCCATTATGGTTATGGCTAGTAACAGATTCACCAAGAGAACATAAAAAAATAAATCAAATTGAACGTGATTATATATGTAGTATTATTGGTAGAAAAGGAAATACTAAAAGTGGACAACTCATCCCATTATCCTCACTACCATGGAAGAAAATTGTTCGATCAAAACCAGTCATTGCTTTATTCGTAACACATTCATGTAATTTGTTTGGACTGTTTTTCTTTTATTCAAATATTGGCAAAATACTCACAGAAATCCATGGTGTTGTTCAATATTTCCCAAGCACACATTTCTCTCGTTTTCAAAAAATATAGTACCTCTGTGACGACCATATATCTGAATATGCCTCTGGTGTATCACCTCAAATTGCTGGCTATTTATTAGCTATGGGTTTTATAATTATGGCAGTTTGTAGTCTTTTATCCGGTAAGAAGAAAATAGTAGATGAGTTAACGTTTGGATAGAACAGTTAGTATATAGGTATTATTGCTGATCGTCTTGTTCAAAGAAATGTGCTATCATTGACAAGTGCACGAAAATTATTTAATTCACTTGCATCGTTCATTCCTGCCATATGCATGTGTATACTTTGCATTTCTGATAGAACTCGACAGATTTTAGGCGTTGCAACTTTACTCGTTTTCCTTGGTAGTTCAGGTGAGTATTATTATAAAGAAAGTTCTAGTTCAAAATCAATTTTCGTGAAAATAAATTTCTAAGCAATTTTTATCCTTGTAAATTTCAAACAATTTGTCCATCAATTCATAGATCTATGAAAGAGTAAATAAATTTCATTGATTAAGTTGTATTGATGAATGATTATAGGCTTTGGCTATGGTTCTGGTTATGTTGTCAATTTTGCCGATATAGTACCTGCCTATTCAAGTCTTCTCTTTGGTCTATCGATCACATTCGGATCTTTGGCTAGTTTGTCGGCAAACTTCTTGGCAGGTTTTATAATCAAACAACCTATTCTTAGCGATTGGCAATACATATTTATTATTTTTATATTTGTTTACACTATCGGTGGTCTCGTCTATTTGGTGTTTGGTTCAGCTATTCCACGAAAATGGGCTCTAGTTGTACGTGAAGAGCACAACACTAACAATGAAAATGAAGCATCCATAGATCCATCGGAGATAATGCTCAAGACTTAAGAGACTTGTCGAACTATTTTGAATTCACTTAAAACTAAAAATTATACTAGTTTTAATTCTAATAAATCGAAATCTATAAATAACTTTGTTTTGCTTAAAATAAACTAAGTTGGAAATTCTTTATTTTATGAATGGAATGCTGGGTGTGGGTGTCTGAAGCCTGCGCCTTATCTTATCCAACACCCACACCCACACTCTCGAAATTTGATCTACTTGAGTTTTCAGAATTGGAAAAAATAAATTAAATACAATCGAAAAAAATGTCATAAATTTCTATGAGAGAAATAAAAATGAAAAAAGTCAAAGGTTAAGTTCGATCATCAACATATTAGAGTTTCGGCAAGATGATACTTAAAAATACTATAGAATAGTACCCAGTGGAGTACTTGATCAGTACCTTCAAGTACCTATTTACTAGATCTTTTCCAGCAGGGTAACCGATAAGGTACTTGGGTACCTAACAGATCCTCGAACATACTGGTAGCAGGATACCTTAACTCAGTACATTCACTAGGGGAAGTATTGGAACATTAAATGAAACACATCTTAAGTGCGAATCAATTTAATTAAAATTTTATATCGTTTTTTTGTGTTTTTACAGCTACTGGAGTTCGAAAGTTTTTTATATTTGTGTATTTTACTTATGGTTCGAAATTTTCTTGACTGTAATAGAGTTGCCAATATGGAACTTTTTGTAACTGGAATTCGAGAAAAAAAACACTTCTCTGAAATTAACATATCTTTTTCTCTTATGGTTGTATTATTTTGAGTTTAAATTTTATATCAGTTAATCCAGTAATGAAAGTTGTTGTGCAATTTTTAACTTATTCGTGTTAGGAATATTTAGATATTAGGAAAAAAGAAAATTTGTTTTACAGTTTATTGATGCAATCAGCAAAATTATTTGGTAGTAAAATTAGTAATAAAATCCTTTTACAAAATTTTGGCGCTCGGTTCTCTTGAAATGTCTAGTGTAATTTCATTTACTGTGCATTCTTCATTGATAAAAATGCTATTTATATACCAATAGTGATTGTCGTATGCTTATTTTTTTTTGTGACTGTACTTCCAATCTGCTTAGATATAATAAGTTGTTTGAACAAATTAATATCATGAATCAGATTCTACTCTAGCAATAATGAATAATAGAATCCAATACATGTAATGAATGATCTTTCGCAAAAGTACTAATACTCATCATTTATGATATTCTGGTTATGAATAAGATAATATTTGAATTTCTGTGCATTTTTCTTATAAGTAACACGTCGGCTCATTGAGTCTCGCTCAACTCAATCCTGAAATTCTCTTATGAAAGTTTCTACAAATGGTTTAGAATATTTAATATTGTTTTAGTAAACAGTAAAAAATATATCTATTCGTGACAACTGAGGGTGTGGGTATGGATTTGGATTTATCCGTTGAACTTCTGATTACACCTACACCCACACACGCCCTATCTTTTGACTTGTTGCTTCTATTCATGTGGATTGCAGATGAAACAAATAAGGGAAAAAAAGTCAAGTCACAGGAAGAAATTTCACATTGAATGGTGCAAAGTGCATTAGATTCTTTAGAGAATCAAATTAACATGACGAATCCGTCCAGTTCCTCGGTGAGAAAAGCTGAAAGAATTCTGACGGCTTTTTTTAATAATCACAGTCATGACTGTTTTTACCACTTTTCTACGTTTCTGTTCTCCTTTGTCCTTGATGATTTCGTTCGCTAGTAAAAAAAACACACAATTGCTGCCTCTCCTCACGGGCAATTGGCAATACAGAGAAAAAGTAAAAATAAACATCAGAAGAAAAAGCAACACTTGAATAAAAGATTGACTGAAAAATCTCAGCAACTTTCATGCGACAATTCATACGAAATACATTATCGTTGATCATAACAAAGCAATTATTGTATGTTGAAGGCTTAATTGGAACGTAAGTAGACTCCTAATATAATTCAGTTTTTCTTCATTGTGTTACCAAAGATTGGTAATAGTCACAGAAGCCAAGAAAAAGAATATCAATGACCGAATTCATCGATGGAGATGGTGGTAAAAACGATAAGTAAATATGACTATTTCTTCGTTTATTGCATATAACTTTGCTTACGAGAAGATACTTCAAACAAGAAGGTAGAAACATACAGGTCAGTAGCAATCATAAAGATAAAAAATTAGCATGAAAGCATATTTATTCGAAATTGAGTATTTCGTTTCATTGCTTGGAAACAAGAAATAACTCCGAAGAGAAACTCTATATTTAGAAGGTGTTTCACGAACAGTTGGATGTCGGTGTGAGTCTTCTTTAAATATACCTACATCCTACAAAACTAAAAAAACGATCTGACTAAAAAAAACCATATCATATTTTTTGTTGAAGAAAAATAATTCAAGCGAAGATAACCCATGGTTTAAAAAGATCAGAAGAACATTCACGAAAAGTATTTTTGCTTTAGCTACTATTTTTTTTATTTCACCGTCATTGCGAACAAATCGTTCAGGGAGCGGTTTTTACTTGATGGAGTTTTTTTCTTCCGACGACTGTGTAGTATCATATATTTCATCTGGTTTTCTTGTATAGGTACTTTGTATATTAATTGAAATTAATCAGCATGACAACATTTGATCCTAATTAGAGGTCGACAAGTTCAGCTCAAGCTCAGAACTGATGAACTGTTCAAAACGCTCACCGACACGAACCGAGCTATTCGAACAGTTCTTTTCAGTGAACTGAACTTTTCAAAGAGTTCAGCTCTAGTTTAGCCTCTTAGTGACACTCCAGACTGGATAAAGTGACTCCTGAAGTATACTATAGGGAAACCCTTAGGTTCTCAGAGGTTACCATAGGAGGATACCCTTGGGTCCTTAAATTCCACTGTATGCAGGTATCCTTGGGCCCTCAAGACCTTCTATAGAAGGGCACCCTCGGTTTCTCAAGACCGACTATAGGGGGTACGCATCGATACTCACCCCCTATTATATTCAGGTACTCATACGTCCTCAGGCCCCATTATATATAAGGATACCCATAGATCCTCAAATGCCGTGATATAGTGATATTCATGAGTCCTCAAGCCCTATTTTATACAGGTAACAATAGGTTCTAACGCTTTATTATGTAAGGGTACCGATAGGCTTCCAAGTACTACAATATAGAGGTATCCATTCGTCTTTAAAGGCTATTCTAAGGGACGATCCAGAGATACACACGCGAAGTAATATAAGTGTGCATAGTGTCCATAAACACATTTTGGACATGCATTTCAGCGCACTATTCAGCATTCAAGTGACATCTTGCATGCGGTGCGATAATTTTTTGAAAAAAAGTTTTATTGACCAATGTGAAACTGGTAAGAACAGGAATGCCGCCTCACGCATGAAGTAGCGTCGCATGTACCGGCAAATACCGCATCTGCAGAGATCGTACGAGTTCTGTGGTTGAATTTCTTTTTAGCAAGTGAGAGTTGGGTCTTAGTCTTTCTTAGGCGTAAATGCATTAGGTATTGTAGTGTCCTTGCTAGACAGTTAGTGATACGTAGAAGGGAGATCTTTGTAAAGTTTTCTCAAAATTTCAGCTGCCCTTTCATCAAAGGCCAACTGACAATCAGGTGTGCAAGTGTTCCAGGTGATGTGAACAACAATTGGCTTATGTGTTATCTGATAGGTCTGTTAACACATAAAACAAGTGTCCTGTTATGGTTCTTCAAAGAAAACCAATATTGAAACTGCAATGCATGAGGTTGTAGCAGACATGAGCAATAGTTACCAATAGACACAGCTACACCGTAAAATCAGTGTTCTGTATTCATTTCTTTTCTATTACTATCATTTCCTACCATATCTGATCGAGAGCATATTCAATGTCCATTTAAAAACCATTCTAGTACCCGTATGTACAACATCTTAGCATACTCCTATACGAGAGCCCTCCAGAACGTACAGGGACCTCCACAGGATAGGCCCACAGGACCTATAGGTACCCCTATAAGATAGCCCTTGAGAACCTAGGGTATCCAAATAGGATAGTCCTTGAGGACCTATGGGTACCCTGATAGGGCAATATGTACTTAAACCTTAAGTTCAGTTCATTTGAAATGAGCTGTCTGAAAAGTTCGGTTCGTTCAAATGAGCTGTTGAAACAGTTCGTTTCATCGGAAAGGAATCGTTTGGAAGGTTCGGTTCGTTTGAATGAACTCTTCGAATAGTTCTTCAGCTCATATGAATCAGTTCGTAAGCCTGAGCTGGTCGACCCCAAATCCTAATTGAATATTTCTTTATTTTCGATTTTTTTCTATATAACTGTCATACGTGCATCGTTGTTTGCAGTGTCATCACTTAATGATGCTTCATTATTTTTTATTCTTTCAGATGAAGAATAAGATGATAATGAAGGTTTATCTTGAAGTTCAGTATTGCATTCTTTACAGAATGTCCAAATATTATTTGACTGCTGTTGTATATTATTCATAAAACGAACATGTAGAAATCTTATGGCAGTACGAAAACAATGAAATTTAAGATTCATGAAACGATAGAAACCAACAAATAGAGTAAGAGACTGTTGGATTGAAGTTAATGAGCATATATAAGTCCAATCAAAATAAATTTTTATTATATCAATATCAAGTGTGGTTCATGATTCAGTAATACGTTTTCTTTAAGATTAATAAGTATTAGAATGGAAAACGTTTAATGAAAAGAAATACAATAAGAATTGGTAGTTTTTTTCTTGAGAAAAGAGTTTTTTTTGAAGATGTTCACAACTTCGGAATCCTTTCAGAGATCAAACAAAATTTCGGAAACGAATTTCGATTTTCCATTATACCATCTTCAGATCCAGGACTAGTTTCCTATAACACTTTAACAGGTTCTGGAAAAACTAATAGGTTCTCAATAGCACGAGGTTGATATTCTGAAACACTTATCGTAAGTCGAAATTGGTGTCTTTTGGAAATCAAGAAGGTATTTTCAGAACCGGTTCAAGCATCCGGAACCCGTCTCG